TCCAGGAGACTGAGTTCTTTGGAGAGAGACATGACTGCTCTCAAGTTAAAGATTGTTAGGCTTTCTATTGTTAAGGGCTAGTGGCTCAAGCTATTTTCTCAGTTGGAGGATCTTAAATGACTTCCCCAAGTAGGAATTTACCTCAAGCAAAACTCCTTAGAGTCAGAAGAGGTTATTCTAGGGCAGGAGTTCCCAGTCCTTGGGCCATGGTCTGGTACTCTATAGTCTGTTAGGAACTGGGCTACACGGCAGGAGATGAGCCTGGGATGAGCAAGTGATGTTCCATCTGTATTTACAGCCTCTCCCCATCATTTGTTTATTGCCTGAGCCCTGCCTCTTGTCAGATCAGTGGAGGCTTTATATCTCATCGGAGCCCCCTCATGGGACCATCTAGTTGCAGGAAAACAAGCTCCCAGCTCCCACTGATTCTACATGATAGTCAGTTCCAATATTTATATGCAACATGATTCACAGGCCAATATGTATCATTCTGTACCTCTGCCTGTGCATTTACATGTATTATATGTATATATATATATATTTTGTACATATATATATACCTATTGTATTGCATTATTGCATATGTGCATTTAAAAGCATAAATATCTTCCAAGTTGTGAGTCATATAATTATTTCATTATGCATTATAATGTAATAATAATATAAATTCATATATGTAATGTGCTTAGATCATCCTGAAGCTGCCCTCCCCTCCCCCTTGATTCATGAAAAAAATTGGCTTCCACAAAACCAGACCCTGGTGCCCAAAAGTCTGGGACTGCTGCTCTAAGGCACAGTGGAAGAGTGGAGGGGTACAAAATGGAGTGAGTTCGGTACACTCACTCAGAAGTTTTGAAGAAGAAAAAAATAGCTAACTTTTTTCTTTCTTCCTTTCTTTTTTTTTTTTGGTCAGAGGGCACATGTACTCACCAGGAAGATAGAGAGACAGAGAGAAAGAAGGGGGGAGAGGAGAGAGAGAAAACATTCCCCTTGGATATAGCCATGCCACAATTCTTATCCTCCATTTTGCCATCTTGTGGGGATTTGGGGCATGCACACACATGCTCCTGGCATGTTTTTCAAGTCATGGAACCTGGGATAAGAATCGTGGTCAGCCGTATGGGATCTGGTTCCCCTTAACCACTAGGCCATGGGGCCAGCTCTAACGTGATTTAACTCATCCAAAATTTTGGTTTGACTGAAGAACTTTCAAAAATTCCTTAGACTATCTAATAACATCTTATGGGATACTGCTGTTCCACAGAGGCACTGAGAAGCAGTAAGATGTAGTGATCGCAAGCAGGGTCCCAGAAACAAACCAATTGCTCTGAGTTACTAAGCAACTTGGGCAAGTTACTTAACTTCCCTGTGCCTCAGCTTTTGAACTTACAAAATGGGGATATAATAGAATATGTTTCACTAGGGAGTCATAAGGATTAGTTGAGTTATGTAAGTGGTGCCAGCTGTTATTATTGTGCAGCATTTTGAGAAATGCTGCTCTTGAAGCATCAAAATAAAGTTAATGGTACTGTTAGTTGGCCTTTGTATTATTGTTCAGAGAATCAATAACCATTGTGAAATTTAAAAAAAAGAAAGAAAGAAAGAAAGAAAAGAAAAGCTCAGTTACTGCATTCCCACACAATGTACCACACAGGGTTGCCCATGTGAGAAGGAATTGCTCTCTTGAAAACAAATGCCTACAATTCCATAGCATCTGCCTTGTCTCTTTCAGCTTGGGGCTCATAGTAAAAATACTAGTTTTTTTCTCTCCCCGTCACATCTCTATCTTATACGGACATTCTCACCTCTTGATAATCATGTAGATTTTTTGCCATACTAGAATTACAACTCCCCTGCAAAATGACAGCTCATTTGTTTGCCTGTCCAACCCTCAAGTAAATTTTGCACATGCTATTTAGCTTGTGGTTCTAAGTATCCGAAAGATTCCTCTAAGTATTATGAAAATTCATCCAACTGTGGTGTTTTCACATAGTAACAGGCAAACAGGAAATTAACTTTATTCTTATTAATTTCATCCTAAGAACACTCCCACAAACATTCTATTTCTAAATCTGCATTTGAAGTACACAGTAACGAGATATATTCAGGTTTACTCTTTCTTTTCACTCACAGATCATCCCCTGTTGTTTTTAAGTGTGTGTGTGTTACTCAAAACAGCCACTTTTTAAACTTTTGTCTCTGTAATTTTTTGAAAATTTTATTTTTTTTTTTTTTTTTTTTTTTTTTTTTTGATGAGCGGCAGAGTTAATGACCTGTCCAAAGCTATCTGTGTTGAAGGCAGCAGAATGACGATAAAACATCTTGTTATCTTTTCTAGTTCAGCAAGGCTGATAGCCAGAGGGAAAAATTCACATCTGAAATGTTGAAAGAGAAAGTTCTATTTATTAAAGAGTTCAAAAATAAAAGTGAAATGAATCTCACACTCCTAATCTGACTAGTGTCTTTTGGGCGTGTTTAACTAAAACACTTGAACATCAATCACTCTTTTTTTTTTTTTTTTTTTTTTTGATCTAGATGCTACTTCTCTGTTTGGAGTCTGGATGGGCACCATCAGCATCTGGCTTCCTGGATCTCCCTTATGCCCAGGCTCACTGTCTCCCTTTCTTCAGAAGGACTTTATTATCATCTTTTGTGAGTTCATCACAGCCCCTTTCAGCCTTCTGAAGGAAACGATCTGATTTCCTTGACAGAGTTTTGGCTACTTCTGATATCCTTGGCCACCATTTTGCACAACAGTTCAGGAACTAGTAAGACTACTAGTCTTAGTCCAGGCATATATGAGTAAAATACCTTTAGGGCTAAATTTGTTACTTAAACTCTCACAGGGAAACTTTGGTTCTCTTATAGCTTCACTTTACCATCTTCTCTGTTACCTTCATGCGCTACCCACAATGTACTTCACTGCCTTTATTCTCCTCATGAGGCAGACTTTTGGATTTTTAGAGGGCAGACTTCTGTTTTGTTTGTTTGTTTGTTTGTTTGTTTGTTTTGGAGTGGTTTTTGCTATAGGGCATGTGCACTTGCAAGAAAGACAGAGACAGAGAGACAGAAGGCTAGAAATCACCTACCAGGGGGATGACCATGCTGCAATCCCTTCTCCTCCATTCTCCTCTCGGGATCTTGGGCACGCACGCACACACGCCCGGCATGAGTTTAAGCCACTGGGTCTGTGACTCGAACCGCAGTTGTCTACATGAGAGTCCAGCAACATGGCTATTATGCCAACTGCTGGTCCCGTGGACAGACTTCTTGCAGCCCAAGACAGGGGTAACCATAAGCTTTAAGACAAGTATTTTTGTAGCTCCCAACCTCTTGAGTAATTTCCAAGTATAAATCTATAGGATAGCTATGTAAAACATTCTAAATCTGATATTTCAAATACAAAATACATTTTAAGTGAACCCAGCTGTAATGATATCATATCTTATTTATTCCCTGAGTTTCCGATTTTTTTTTTTTCATTTCAGCATTAAACCAGATGAAACATGCAAGGGGTGGAAAAATCAATCTTGTTCTTTATCTGAAGAGACTCCACTTGACAGTGATGTAAAAACCAAACCATTAACCTTTCTGAGGAGCCCCTTTTGCTCTTAACCTTCTTGCTTCCTGTTTGTTTCAACCTTTTAGTTCTCTGATCCTTGCTGCCTCTAGTTAGGGCTTTGGAGATGGAGAAAAGGTCTGGAGTAAATCCAGAGAGTCTGCTCAGTCTGACCTGGGCAGTTTCTTAAGAGCAGGCTAGCTTTTGGTCTATAGGTAGCAGCAGTTCAGTTCTTAGTCTCTTTGGCAAAACTACTTTGGTCTACACTGTATCAAACGAACAGTTGGTAGCTTTGTAAAATATGTGCATTGAGAGAAGCTCTGCACAAGATCTGATCCTTTCTTATTGCTTGAGATTTTGAGGTCAGCCTGATTTTATGGTTACTGGGAGGCCCAAAAAAGCCATTGAGTGTGTTTTTAGTTATTCTTGAAATCCAGGCTTAGAGTCAAGCAAACCAAATGTAACTTGCATGTAGACTATAACTCATAGACCTGGGGAGAACCTGAGGGATAGTATCATGGGATGATGCCCAATCACAAATCCTGGTAGATCCTCCTAAGGGCCATCATTCTAAAATTTTGTAAAAAGAGAATCCAGGAACCAAGCAAATGAATGTGCTCACAAGGGACAGCCTGGCAGGCTTCTTGCAGTGAAAAAGGGGTGGTTTTAAAACATCCATTTGGCTGTGTATAATATACACGTGGAATAATTCACAAACAGCCATGCACATCATGACATATAAACACCTATCTTGAGATTAAAACATTACCCAATAAAATTCAATCCCCCAAGTTCTCCTCTCTTTTTCTCTCCATCCTCAGACATAATCATGATATTAAATTTCCCATGAATTTTCTTATATTCATGCTACAAATGTATGCATTCCTAAACTAGATATAATGTATTTGCAAGGTACATCTCTCATATATATACTGTCATTCTGCATGAATTCTGCTGTAACTTAAATTTTAAAAATTCAACATTATGAGATATGATCAGATTGAAACACATAGTACTGATTCATATTTGTTTCACTAGCAGTGCTTTTTATGCTGCGGTCCTAGTTATGGAAGGGTGGGAAGAGTAGGAGGAGACCAATTACTGGCCCTGATCTGTTGTGGACAGTCCAGATTGTGTACTTAGTGTCTTAAAGTGGTGACCCAATTCATCTCTAAGTCACTTGTAAGAGTGGCAATGGAAAGAGAAAAGCTAATTATAATGGTTGAAATTGAGTTTTCATAGAGAATATAGAGCCAATTAAATGTAAATAATATTTCATGGTAAGAAAATACAAAATAAATATTTAATAAATGCTTGTTTAATTATTTGAAAACTTTTTCAGTTATGTATGTTAGTGTTTCAAAAATTAAGCAGTTTTATGAGTGGTATGGGGGAAAATATGACCTAATAGTTCTCCCCTTTGTTTTCTCTACCTTTTCAGCGTTTTCTACATTCTGTCCCAGTGGATCTGATTCCTGCTTTGTAGCTTTCTGAAAGATTAAAGTTGAGCATCATTAGTGAAACTCACCTGCTGCCTGACTGAACACCACGGTGAACACTTCTGAGACCATTTTCAGTAAAAACAATAATGACTTTCTTGGAATGTAATCGCAGTGGAACCTGTTGTCTGTGTAGCCTGAAAGAATACCTAACTACCATCAGAAGTTCTACAGAGACCTCATAAAATCCACTTTACATTAAACAACTGAGTAACTCCGGTTTGATCAGAGACAACTTTAAAAATTGTAGTTATCAACTCACCTTCTGGAAGATTCAACCACTGCTACTCATAGCTGTTGCTGAAATACCATGTCTAAGAATTCAGAGTTTATCAATCTGTCATTTTTATTAGATCATGAGAAGGAAATGATCTTGGGAGTCCTGAAGAGAGATGAATATTTGAAGAAAGTGGAGGACAAGAGAATAAGGTAATTTTCTTCTATCTTTTTGGTACTCCTTGACTTCTTTCTGTTTGTTTGAAATTATTTAGAACAGAAGCAGGGCAAAATCTAAATAAGATGTAAGATGTTGGTCAAGGATTTCATGGGTTCCCAGCAGTAGCCTAGATATTAGAAAACTTTGGTATCTCACCATTTAACCAGATCGGGGGATGGAATTGAGAGAATAATATGATGTTGACGAAATGTTCATTTTCTTTTCTTTTTTTAAAATTATCATCATAATCTTCGTTATATTACATTGGATTACACATAACTTT